ATTTTCGGAGATTATCTGTCTAATAAAAATCCGGGACGGTAGACAGACGGACAGACGGACAGACGGACAGACGGACAGAGAGACGGAAACGGGATACCAATTTCTTCGTCTTCTAGCGGTCATGAAAGATCGAGAAAATGTAAAAGTAGAGAGTCGGCCGACGGACTCGATTACAATTCTTCCTTTGCTTACGCTCGGGAAGTAAAAGCGTTATGAAAATCACAGCTATGATACAACAAAAATATTACTCATTCATATTTTAGAATCTACATACGAGAAACAGCTTTGGAAGATGTCAGTTTCGAATTTGTTGATGTTTTCGAAGCTGTAGAAGACGAAAACACAAACTCTCCTTTTTGTAGTAAAATCTGTAGATGGTTAAATGCTAAAATTGTCTACTTTGCAAAAACTGACGATGTTATTTAGAATTTCGTTAAGCGAATTTATTTTACTTCAAATGTGTAGCATAACGTGATCTTTTATCTATGGGTTAATCCAGACCAATCCCAGCTGTTATACAAGAACTAATTAACATGGATTTGTAGGCGATTAGGTCTTTTAGGATTTAGTTTCGACCGTAAACGATCTGCATTTCCAGGACAATCAGTTCACAAATAACAAAGTTACCGTTGAATTTGCAGCAAACTATGTTACAAAAGGCACAATACTTACTAGAATAAACTGAATGTAATACTTTTTACATCTACCATGAGATAAACACCCCTAAACATGTTAGTGATGCTCATGTTTCGATGATCGCTCTCTGCCCTTCTAGATCTGAGTAAAAGTACTTACTATGCAGATATATTCGGAATATATTATCCAGCTCTAAAGAAGTTTAAATGGGGTGGCGTAATGAATGTTTGGTCGAGCGTACGGTTATCGATCGGTAAGCGGTTACCTACCCGTAACAGGTGGAATGTGCGCCAGGGTAATGTAGCAATTTCCCACCCTCCATTTTGTTTCAAAGTTCTTTATATCTCCGCTTGTTAGTATATTATTACTTCTTCATGTCTATCATAAACCCAACTCGCGGTGGAACACGTTCCGTTGCCTCGTGACTAACATATTGCTCACATTGACGTCGTTCTATCCGTCGTTCCACTTTAAGTTGACAGCGTAGAAAACGCACAAGCAATGCATTTTATATGACAGAATTTGCGTCGGTGTTGTCGGTTTGTGTTTTGATGATTTTTTAAATAAATACATGTTTTACAATCTTGAACTCGTGTGATAATAATATTTCTTCATTACAAAAATTGTTGTAGATCGTAAGCTACAACTAGGTTTGTGATAACTACGTGACAACATCGCCGCGAATTCTGCCATATCAAATGCATTCCTTATGGGTTTTCTACGCTGTCAACTCAACGTGGAACAAACAATATAACAATGAACACAAACCCTCTGAAGTTTGATCGGCGTTACTCTTTATCGTGACTCAACAATCAAATCTTGTTTATGCAACTAATCTATAGTCACCGACTAGACGTAGGCGTACAATGACTGTAAGGTCTCGTTTACACAATTCCGATTGCATAAGTAGGTAAATTAACCTTCTTCATTTTAGCCCAGTTGAGGCTCTGTGTCGGCACGATAAGGACTGTTCACCACGCGATAGCTTAATTTCAGGTTATTATAGCAGTTTCAGTAAAATTAAATTCGTTGGCGCCGATGTTTGAAGAGAGTTTAATAGGTTCTAGGTATTATAGGAAAAACTAAAGGCCATTCATATAAAGTGCGTTGTCAGAGTTTCATGATGTGTGCAGAAACTTTATATTTGATTAGTTGCTTTCTCACGTGCTGTTCGTTCGATAAAGATAGAAGGACAGGTCAAGTACAACCTCACTAGGCACAAGCTTTTGATCAAACACAAATATCTACATAGCCTCCAGAAACACAGAGATATTTCGTAAAGTTTGTGGCCATAATTCTGTAGACGAGACGGGAGAAAAGTAGCAATTTTCTTTAAAGATTCGCTTGTGGAAACAGATGAATCCCCTACATCGATTATATTAAAATATGTCATAAGAATTCATAAAGTAATATTGAATTCAGCAGTTCAAGCTTTTAAAACTAATTCTGAGTTATGACAGGTTCGTGTTTGTTTGCATTAAGATTTTAAAAGTACCTACACATTAAATTTTGTACAATTAACCTTAAGCGTCAAGCTTTTTGAACACCCGTTACAAAAGACATGATTCAATATTTACAGTTGCTTTCCCCAACTTTATGCATAAAACAAAAGTTCGATATGGAATATTTTGTCTAATATCAGTAGCGGTCTTCAACCCCTTGGATCAATTTTAGGGATATGAATGTGAACGCAACATGAAATTATATACGAAATAGTCGAAACGTTTCAACTATTATGGTAATGACAGGTTTCTGTTTCTTTACAAATTCCATATCCCTTTATTGTATGTAGTTGAGTAAAAAAAAAAAACAAAACTTTATTATTTTTTTGTAGATGGGGGTTACTAGGTATTCTAATGATTCTTATTTTATTTACGCTACTTTTCCGTTGAACAGTAGCGTTATACGTATTTATATGACGCATCACAACACCGTTAGATTTATGTGCCATCTCCTTTATTGTTTCATGAAAACTTTCTTGCTTCGTTTTCACTAGCTTCTGAATTTCGCTTCTAAATGTAAACATAACAATTTTACTAAAGGAACACTTACATCGTTCCATACATCTTCACATATATTATTTTTTTAATATGTAACTCTAAAAGATTTAGTAAGATTTTTAGAATTACGTCATTAAATTTGTGGAGGACATGGACACATATTTTGTCAAAATTATCGTTATTTCACAATTTTGAAAAAAAAAGTTTTTTGTAAAATTTAAAATCCAAACTTTTTTGCTGACTGAAGACAACTCGTGTACACATATTTAAAATTATAAGGGTTAAGTGCATTTAACAATGATAAAAATAAAAAAAATGGTCTAAAGCTATTTAGACGGAACTTTCCTCACCCCTGAAGTACAGTATAACATATTCAGCTTTTTAGAAAAATTATAGTTATAAAATTTGTAGCGGAGATTCCAAAGCGCTCTGCTAGTACCCTCTCGAGGGCGCTGTCCTCGGCAGCGCCAGTACCAACCCCATCACGCTCACCCCCACTGGAACATGCACCCCACCTTCGCCACCCTCGCCCTATCGGTGCGTCAACACGCAGGCACCCCCACGCATCTCAAACCTGCCTATATAAGGGCCACCGCGGCCAATTTTCAGGCAGATGGAAGCGCACTTCACTGTCTACCATCGCCATCTTAAGGGCTGCACTGTCTAAGTTCCCTCCTGGTTATCACCAGGGCTGCACCGTTTTCGGTCGCCTGCACTACGTTGACTTCTGGGTATCACCAGGGCTGCACCGTTTTCGGTCCCCTGCACCGCTTCGAGATCTGCATCACAGGGCTGCACAATTTTCGGTCCCCTGCACCACGTCGACTCCTTGTTATCAACAGGGCTGCACTGTCTAGGTCCCCTGTGCCGCATCGCCGACGTCTTCATCAGGGTCGTACTGTCTAGGTCCCCTGTGTCGCATCGCCGACGTCTTCATCAGGTCCCCTGTCATCAGGGTTGCACTGTCCCCTCTGTCATATACGCCGCCGACGTCATCCCCTACGACGCCCCGAGCCCCAAGAGCCGCCACCATCCCCGCCCAGATTTCCACCCCTTCGAGAACCCATACATTTACATTTGACTTGTATTATTCTTATTATTAATAAACCACTGAGCCACCACAAATTTAATTTTGCAATTTTTTATGATAACCCTTTTAGTTTAAAATAAAGATATGTGTATAGTCAAGTAAACTTAAACGCAAACAAGCATTCGTACGTTTCAAGTAAACCTATTTTTTCAATAAAAAAAACAAATTTCGATAAGATGACAATAATCAAATAACACTTGAGGAACTGATGAATGCCATCAATAGAGCACAAAACTGGAAATCCCCAGGACCAGACAAAATATTTACATAAGTTGGTTCTTAAATATGTGCTCTTCTCAAATAGTCAATGGAATTTTGGAAAACCATCCTTCAATAACCTTAAATGATCAAATACTTCAATCGGATTGTTCTGATCAGACTCGCGGACAGGGACATCGTCGCGTTCGCGATCGCAACCCCATCAACGAGTGAAGGGCAACAGCGGTATATGGTATCACTGGCGTTTCGGCGACAAGTCAAGAAGATGCGACAAGCCGTGTAGGTACAGTTCCATACCGGCGGGAAACACCGAGGGCAAACGACACACCTAAGGCGGTGAAATACTCCGCCCGCCACCACATCGTAACCACGCCGGGACCTCCCATTGCGCAACGTTTCCCAAGATTTGCGCCCGACGGACTCCAGGCATGAAGAAAAGGATTCGACGTCATGGTTCAGCTAGGAATCGCCCGTCCTTCTCAAAGTTCATGGTCTTCACCGCTTCATATGGTGCCCAAGAAGGACGACGAATGGAGGCGATGCGGGGATTACCGTGCTCTCAACGCAAGAACCTGCCCCGACATGTACCTGGTGAGGCACATCCAAGATTTTGCGCAATCCCTACACGGCAAAATCATATTTTCAACAAAATCATATTTTCAACAATCGATATGGTTCGCGCATTCAACCAGATCCCGCTCGCGGAGGAAGACGTTCCGAATACTGCCATTACCACCCTAGTCGGCTTGCATGGATTCCAATTCATGACGTTCGGCCTACGGAACGCAGCGCAGACTTTCCAGCGATTCATGGACGAGGTGCTGCAGGGTCTCGATTTCTGCTATTCACACATCGACGACATCCTTGTCGCATCCGCATCACCTGAAGAACACCTCCAGTACTTGGCAACTGTGTTTCAGCGTTTGAAAGAGTCCGGCGTCGTTATCAATCTCATGAAATGCGTCTTCGGTCGGGCCGAGATCTAATTTCCAGCGCAGGTACACGCCCGCTTCCCGCAGCCAAACACGGTACAAACGTTACGTCAGTTCTAGGGTATGTTGAATTTTTTTAGAAGATTCCTATCTAGGGCGGCAGAGACTCAAGCACCTTTGAACAACCTCCTCCAGGGCAACTGGACACCAGCAACGGTGGCGACATTCGAGGCGTGCAAGGAGAGCCTCGCCGAAGCACTCCTCCAACAGAGGACCAATGGCCACTGGAAACCGTTGGACTTCTTCTCCAAGAAACTGAGTCCCACCGAGTCAAACTACGGGGCTTATGACCGAAAATTACTAGCCGTTTATCTCGCGGTCAAACGTTTTAGGCATATGGTAGAGGCGCAATCTTTCACCATCTATATAGACCACAAGCCGATCATGTATGCCTTTCAGAAGAAGAACACCGAGTCCTCGACCCGCAAAATACGACACCTGGGCTTCATCAGTCAATTCACTTGACATTGCAGGGACTGAAAATGTTTTCACAGACCCTCTTTCCCTCATCGAGGCCCTGGAGACCTCGATTGATGTACAGGCTCTGGTAGCAGCACAACAGCAGGCTGAGGAACTAGAAAGATTTCGGACAGGGAGTACAGGCCTTCAGCTCCAACTGGTACGAATCCTAGGCTGCAATGTATTGGTACTTTGCACCGTCTATCCTATCCAGGCATTAAAGCCACCATAAAACTGGTGTCGCAACGTTACGTCTGGTCATCAGTCAAAGCAGATTATCGAGAGTGGGCCCGCAACTGCGTAGAGTGCAAGCGTCCGAAGATTTCACACCACGTCTCTTAGCCTGTTGGTACGTTCTCGCCACCATCAGCCCGGTCTGAGCACGTACACTTTGGATATAGTAATTATGCCGCTCTCAGAGGGTTGTCGTTACTGCCTTACCACGGTAGATCGGCACACCCGCTGTCCAGAAGCCGTACCAATTAGCGATCAAGAAGCAGCAGCCGTGGCACAAGCTTTCTACGGTACATGGATCGCACGATTCGGCACCCCGCTACGAGTAACCACCGATCAAGGTAGACAATTCGAGTCGTATCTATTTAAACAATTAAATTGTTTATTGGGAACCACTCATTTGAGAACGACAGCCTACCATCACTCAGCCAACAGAATGATTGAACGCCTACACCGACAGCTAAAAGCATCAGCCACCAGAATAATCGCTAGACGGAACCCCTATCCACCGTATATGGCAAATCTCTCCGCCTGCCCTTTGAATTCCTGGGTATCCCACGCAACGAAAGCAGGGCAGACAACAGTACCGCAAGCTTCGTCAAAGGGTTACGTCAACACTTGCGTAACTTGAAACCCTGTGATGGAACGCGACATGGAACAAAGAGGACCTTCGTTTTCAAAGATTTCGCCACCTCCGAGGAAGTTTTTATACGCCACGACGGTCCCAAGCAGCCGCTTCAGCAGCCATACGACTGTCTGTACAGAGCCGTAAGGCGATCGGCAAAAACGTTCGTCGTCAACATAAAAGGTCGAGATGTCACCGTTTCCATAGACCGGTTCAAATCCGCGTATGTACTCAATGGCGACACGCTCACGTCACGGTATGGCCACAACACTACGAGGACGACTCCCACAACAGACGAACCAGCGCCCTTTGCAGATCAACCGCGCGCCGACGACGAGGTGCCCAAGCTTCCACAACAGCGAGGACCACTAGGTCAGGAAGACAGCTACGCTTCACTGAGCGCCTGTAAAGCGGTTTTTCGTGCAAAACACTAACAAGGGGTACTGTAGGAACAACCGTTCCCCCCAAAACACTTTAAAATTTATGTAAATTTCTGTAGAAATGTAAATACGTCCTATCTTTCGTCTCGTTTCTCTCCCAATTTCTAGAATTGCTAAACTCTTTTTGTTTACCTGCTTCCACCTCTCCAAAACCGAGCTTACCTATCGACAAATTCAAACATCTTTCTTTCTTCTACCTCGAGCCCTCAAACGGTAAGGATCTAATAAAAATCTGAAAAGCATAACCGTGGCTATTTCTCAAATTACCAACGATATCATAGTAAAAAAAAACTTACGAATGTGAACGATATAATGAAGAGATAAAACAATACCTTGAGGAACTAGGACAACCCACACAAGAAGAAGTAGAATAAGATAAAACAATAACCGAAAAAACAAAGATACCACCAATAACAGATGAAGAAATAAACAGAGCTGTCAACAAACTGAAGCTTTTTGGCAGAGCGCAAAGACAGGATGAAATCAGTTCAGAAATGCTAGGGTTCATTGGGACAATAGAAAAGGAACGTAGGAATTATATTACCATTATATCAAACAGAAGATTCCAAGCACTGTCCAAATTATGGAGGCATAACCCTAACCAGTATGAGAGAAAAAGTGAAGAGGAATAGAGAAAGACATGATTGAAACCTTCGACAGAAATAACAAAAACAAGGTAAGAACGCACACAGAATTCACGACAAAGATTGGTCTGTAATGAGAATGTGTTCTAAGTCCATTGCGGTTTTCTGTAGTCGTAGACGACGTCATCGTTATTAAGAAATGCAACTGAAAATGTAGAATTATGGAGATAGGAATTTAGATAATGAAACTCCAGGAAGTGATATGTGTCGACACAGAAGAAACACAACAAAAAAATGTAACAATATAGCAGGAAGAACTGAAGAAAATAAATACGGAAATAAATTTGGAGAAGATATATCCAGTGGTAGTAACAGACGAAGAAAAAAACACAGGGAAAACACTGAAACAAGTGAAACGTTTCAATTACGTGGGAAGATGAGAAAGGCTTTATAAACGAAGAGGGTAGAGAAAGCTAATATAACATACCAAGATCCACATTCTTTTGAAAAAGGAAGTAGCAAAGGATATAAGTTGTCAGGCCATTATTGACCTACGGTAGCCAGTCGTGGATAATAACATACAAGCATAAAAACAAAATTGAAGCCATGGAAATTAGATTTCTGAGAGGAATCGACAACAAAACAAGTAGAGACAGAATAAGTGATATGACAATCTCAGGTCAACAAAACGTCAAGTCAATAGATATAATTATTGAAGAAAGGCAACTGATTTGGTTAGGCCACATAGAATGGGAGACGAGAAAACGACAAAAAATGTTTGGGGGAAAAAATAAAAGACGTCTCCCAAGGAAAAACTGGGTAGAACTAGTCCCCAACGCAGCAAAAAAACAGCAAATAAGATGGATAGAAGTCCGAAGAACAGCAGAAGACAGGATTGTATGGACAAAGGTGCTAAAGAAAAACAACAAAGAAGTCAGATCGCATGAACTGCACCCAGACACAAATAGATAGCAAGAACAAGATAAACTACAAAATACATAAATATAGATGTCCGACATCTGACGCTATTATTATTATTGTATACCTATAAGATTAAATAATAAATAAACAAATAAATATATAAATAAATAAATAAAAATGAACACAGACAGACAGATAGATCGACAAAGAGATGATAGATGACAGACAAGAGACAGTCGGAAACGGGGGCCTATTGTTTGTACTCTAGGAGTTATGAAACATCGACAAAAAATGGTCCATTCGCCGAAGATAACAATTGTTGCACTTTTAAGCACTGAGGATTCATATCATCCAGCGTTGTGTGTCGATTTTTCCTCCTTAAAAACTAGAAACGTTGACAACCCTTCTGGCATTTGTGGTGGACCCGTAATTTCAGGAAGACTGATCTTTCATCATTGTATGAGTCTATGTTGAATACTGACTTCTCTTTTCTTGACGCGTGTGATGATGTAAACAAGGTTGTGGATAACTTATATTAAAAATTAGAACCCTTGTTTTCTTTATTTGTACCTATTAAAAGAAAACCTTCAAGAGCTTATCATCCTTGGTATAATGGACAAATTATTTCTAACTTAAAAATGAAGGAGAAAGCGTGGCAAAAATACAAACGAAATAAAACAATGGAATCCTATAATACCTAAAAAAGCATACGCGCTACTGTAAAACTCTTGATTCGGACTTCTTACAAAGAATATTTACAAAATATCACTTCTGATATTAAGAGAGATCCAAAAAAGTTTTGGACGTTTATTAAAACTAAATCGAATCATGCATGTATTCCAGCTAATATATTTTACAATGATAACGAACTTTCCAACTCTCAAGACATTGCTGACGCGTTTGCGCATTTTTTTGCCAGGTCTTTTCATTCTGTTAGTAGCACCTCATCAAATACGTCCGTTGATAGTGATCTTGTGAGTGCGTTAAATCAAAATATATTAGATGTTAGAAAAACTAACGAGTCTGAAGTGCTTACAGCCATCAAGAAATTAAAGCCGACGTTAACCGCTGGGCCCGATGAGGTTCCGTCATTCTTTGTGAAAAATTGTGGCATAATTTTTGCTCCTCCACTAACAGTTATATTCAACTTGATTTTGGGTAATTCAAAATTTCCTGACAAATGGAAGTTATCTAGGATTTTGCCTATTCATAAAAAAGGAAGCACTGCGGAAATCAGTGAATATAGGCCAATTGCTTTGATCAACAACTTTGCTAAAGTATTTGAATTTGTAATGCATGCTAGCATCTTTTCCCATGTTTCGCAGGTTTTGTAACCGATGCAGCATGGTTTCATTAAAGGAAGGTCGACTGTCACGAATTTGATGATCAAGACGCAATATATCTCTGGAATGTTTGACAAACATCTTCAACAAGTGGATTGCTTTTGATCGTATTTTCGACGGTTTGCTAAGTGTCTTTAAATCTTATCTAAGCAACAGATATCAGTATGTATTTTGTAACACTTGCTCCTCACGTCAGTTTCCACAGACATCTGGTGTACCGCAGAGCTCGGTCTTAGGACTATTGTTGTTTATAACGTATGTATGTTCCTTCCTTGCTTTATGCAGAAGATTTGAAAATCTTTTTTCGCGTACAGTCATCTTTAGATTTTATTCGTCTTCAAGACAACTTGAATCGTGTGTTGCTATGGTCGAAAAAAAAAATTTGCTATTAAACGCTGATAAATGCCTCGTCAAGTCATATTCGATTAAACTGTCAAATGTTGTACACAACTACGTCTTGGATCAAAGAGTCCGGAACCGTCCTGATTATGTAAGTATGTGACTTGGGTGTCACATATGATGCTAAATTAAGTTTCCATTAACACTATGAGGTTATCTCCACCTCGGCGCATAAATCATTAGGGTTTGTTGTTCGCAACGCGGCGGAATTTAATGACCTTGATGTTCTAAGGCTTCTCTTTGTATCATACGTCAGATCCGTCTTGGAGTATGCGTCGGTGGTATGGAGCCCTTTTTATCAAACCTATTTCTCTGTTAGAAAAAACGCAGCGTCGATTCCTAAAATTCTTATCTTACATCTGTGATGGTGCTGACCCTACAAGAGGAATATCAGAGTTTGGTCTGTAGGCGAAAAGCAGCTTCTATCTTAATGTTACATAATATTTTAAATTATCATATCAAATGTGAAGATCTTCTTAAGATCCTAAAGCTGCGTGTGTTAAAGCCTGGTTTAAGATCATATTCTTTGTTGCATATGCCTGTCCCAAAAACAAACATATTGAAAAATTGTCTCCGGTTTATCAAATGCTTCAAAACTATAGAGAGGTGGAATCTGAAATTGATATATTTAATACTTCGCCAGCAAAAATTAAGCAGTTTTTCAGTGTCTATATGTTTACTTAGTTGTTTTTGCCTTTATTTTCTAGTTTTTATTCCTCAATAATTGGGCTCTCAGCCTGTTGAGGGATTACTCATAATAATAATAATGATGAAAACAGCCATAGCACGTCGCGATTTCATAAGAAATCGTGGCATACAACGTCGATATTATTACGCGGGATTTTGTACTTATGGGTCATGTTTGAAATTAGTAAAAAGTCGATAATTTTAGCCAAGAGCTCGAATTTTCTTGGTTTGAATCTGTACTAAATAAAATCTTATTAAAAACAACGTGGTGTAGTTTGTCCAATAACTTTCAGATGGCGCATTAAATTAATTTTTATACGATTCAAAGGAAATCATCTTACCACGTCGATTTTAGAAAAAAAAAACTCTCATGGTTGTGAGATTACCTTATGTTCTTATGTATTTTCGCTAATGTCGAAGAAAAAAAAATGTTTATATAAGTCAAACACCTCATCCCACTTCGTCATAAGACATCGCTAAGCGATCCTGTAGGAGTATGTCTTAAGAACTGATTTACAAAGTACGAGGCTTACTTCCACAAGCAATACTTTTTTACATTGTTGCCCCATACTTTCGTTTATTTCAAAGCCAGTACGCCTATGTAAAACGTGTTGAAAGAGAGCTAACACAATTTGAACCTTCATTGCTTATCGAGGTCTTGCTAACGTAAGATTTACTGAACAAAATCTACAGATGCCGTCGTTTCAATGGATCTATCTAGTGTCCCTAGATTTTAGAATTATTTTAGAAATCTAGAGACACTAGATCTATCTACTGAATAGTCGTAAAAGATACACCCTAATATAGCATGCGCAGTCACCATGTGTAAAGTTACCGCGTAATTCAAAAGTCTGACAATGAACGAGACAGGCAGCGTTCTCGGATATAACGTGGCAGATCATGTAGGTGTGCTGTAGTTGTTTGTTTACGTTCATTATGTCAAAGAAATGCAAGACAAACCGATATGACTCAGTTGCCTCTCGAGGATGCCGATCGCCACCAAGCGTTTTAAATTGCACGATGTTGATTCGCTGTTTTAAAAATTGCGGTAAAGATGTTATACGCAAACCTCTGTCTCTTACTAACATGCAGTAATCCTCGGTCTGTTCGTGTTTACGACTATTCAGTAGATAGGTCCATTAATGTCCTGCAATCCCCAAGCCAATGTTAGTGTCTTCCAAAAATTTCAAAGAAATCCGTTATTAATAATTATTTTCTTAGATAAATTGTAAAACTTAATGATAGATTTTTTTTTTTTTTCAAGGAAAACCCATATGCGTAAAGTTACAAAACTAGTGCATTATAAAACCATAGGCAAGGCAGCATATCATGCTGCAAATTACAAGTGGGATTTACTTAACAACATTTTAAGATGACTACGGCTCATGGTTGTGAGAATACTGTATGCACCTCAGCTTATGTAACAGAAAAATATATTTTTTATAAATAAATCAAACACCTCATCGCACTTCGTCATAAGACGTCGCTTAGAGATCCTGTAGGAGTATGTCTTAAGAGCTGATTTACAAACCACGATGCCTACCTCACACGAGCAACACCTTGTTGCATTGTTATCTAATATTTTAGTTTATTTGAAACCCAGTCCGCCTATGCCATTTTGGCATTGAGGCTTAACTGACAAAAGATCTTTCTAGATAACATAAAACAATATTTCTTAAATATATAGGTTAATATATCCAATTGACGGTAGCATCGTTACATATGTATCAGTGTTTAAAAACGCGGAAATTTATAATTACATGATATTGATAATTTAAAGTTAAATTTAAAAAAATTAGTAACAAGTTTTCAAAAATATAAAGTTTTGAAATTTAATTTTGTTTCCTAGGATTAAAGGAACTCCCATGCGTAAATTTTACTATTTGTTAGTTATATGAGGCGCGTGGAACAAAAACACGAACAAGAGTTAACACATTTATTATACAAACACAAGTAAATATACATTACGGTGAACTTGGACACACGCGCGCGGATAACCGACCAGCCATTAGTGTGACGTTCGTCTTCGTCATGGCTAGGTCATCGCTGGCGCAGTCGCGCAGACTACCGCCGAACACGCGCTCCATCTATGTTTCCTAACTCTTCCCCTCGTGTTCAAGGGTCGCGAGTAACCGCACTTTAGTCCTCTAGCCTAGAACACTCAAACCGCTAGCCCGCACGCACTCGACATGTTTCGCTCTCGGCAGTCCTTTGGTCAGGAAATCCGCCACTTGTTCTTCAGTACACACGTAGTCCAACTTCAACTTAGGGTCTCGCGCAGAAAGTGATGACGGATGTCAATATGTTTACTACGCGCGTGGAAAACCGTGTTTTCCGCTAGTTTCAGCGCACTTTTATTGTCGCAACGAACAGTAACGTCAGAAAGAGTCCCGAACGCTAGCTCTTGCAAAAGTCGCTTTAGGTGCATTGCTTCTTTCACGCACTCGGATAGAGGCATGTACTCGGCCTCCATCGAAGAGAGAGCCACAGTCCTCTGTTTCTTGGCATCCCACGAGACCGGGCTACTATTCAGAAGAAACACATATCCAGTGAAAGATCTTCTATCGTCGGGACAGTTACACCAATCTGCATCCACCAATCCTGTTAACGGACTCAGTTTCGATCCGAAAGTCAGTCCCAATTTGGAGGTCCCCTTCAGGTAGCGGAGAACTCTTTTCGCAGCTTTCCAGTGTTCCTCCCGAAAACAGTTATTGAACTGACCCAATCTGCTTACCGCAAAAGCAATGTCCGGTCTGGTTGTTGTTGATAAATAGGTCAGTGCACCCACCAATTCTCGGTATGGAAGCTTGAGATCTTCTTCGCTTTGATTGTCTTTCTTAAAAAGCTTTGAGCCTATGTCGACGGGTGTGGCAACAGGCGTACATTCGGACATGCCAAACCTGTTCAGGATGTTCTCAAGGTGGCATTTCTAAGTTATTACCACCCAACTTCCTCTCTGCTCGAATTCGACTCCCAGGCAATATTTGGCGTCGCCTAAGTCCACGATGTCGAACTCTTTTGTGAGAGCTCTATTTATGTCGCCAATCGTGCGTTGGTGTTTTGATGCGATTAAGATGTCGTCCACGTACACCCCAATCACGACTAAATCTTCCTCTTTACCGATATGATACAACAGGGATCTGAAACTGTCGGTCGTGCGCCCAAATTTCGCAACACCTCGTCCAATCTGCGGTTCCAACTTCTTCCTGCTTGACGTAATCCGTATAAGGCCTTCTTCAGGAGACAGACCTTGTTCCCCTTACGGTATGTCTTTAGCATCTTGTCGGCCTTTTGTTTAATCGCACTATCGCAATCGGACTCCAGGATGTCAGCTAATATGCCTTCGAAATTCTTGGGCACCTCCATGTACACCGCCTCCTCAAGTTCACCATTTAGGTACGCAGTAGCAACGTCGAATTGCCTGATACGCATTCCGTAACGAGCCGCTAAGGAGGCCATGACCCTGATTGATGAGAAACGGGCAACCGGGGCAAATGTTTGGGTAAAGTGGACACCAGGGCGTTGGCTAAAGCCCTGTGCTACCAGGCGAGCTTTTCTTCTCTCGAGTGTCCCATCTGATTTCAACTTATTTCGTAGGACGAGTCGACTGCCGATGGTTTCCTGTCCTCGGGGACGACGACGACCACCCAGGTATCATTTATCAGAACGGATGCCATTTCAGACACGATGGCGTCGCGCCATTCATCCGCGTCTGCACCGTTCAAAACTTCCTTCATCGAAATTTCAGAAAGTAACCCGACTTCGTTCAATTCGATGACATTCGATTCGGGCCTCGGCACTTGATTGAATTCCCTCCTGGGTCGTCCCCTCTCTCTAGTTCTGACGATCTTAGGGCGACCAGGTCCTCGTTGTGTCTGGGGCTGCACCTGAGGTGGTTCGTCGCCGTCGTCGTCGATCGGGATCGGTCCATCTCGCGTCACTTCCTCGATTTCCGCATTAATGGAGGTGGGCTTTCTAGTGTGGGATCTGCGCCTAAATTCTCGTCGACTTCTTCAGGAATCTCTCGCTCCTCGCGAGCAGGAAATCTGATGTCGACAAATTTCTTCGTGTAGTTCACTTCCTCGCAACATCTATCGACTTCAGTTTCGCGGGGTTCGTTCGAAGAATCTTCTAAAAACTTCAAGTCTCTGCTGATGATGACTTTGTGTTTCTTAAGAGACCAAATGCGATACCCCTTGTGAGAGTCGTCCTATCCGAGAAAAATCCCCTCTTCTCCTCGGGGAGAAAATTTTCTGTTATCCGGTTCGCGATTCAGGTAATAGACTTTTGACCCAAATACCCTAAAGTTCGAGATGTTCGGCACCTTACCGGTCCACACTTCGAATGGGGTTTTGTCATCTAGATTTTTCGTCGGCAGCCTGTTTCTAACATAGTTCGCGGTGTTAACCGCCTCTGCCCAGAATGAGTCAGGCAACCTGGCATCCAAGAGAAGACATCTTGCCGTTTCCAACAGTGTCCGGTTCTTCCTCTCCGCGACTCCATTCTGTTCCGTGTTGTAAGGAACGGTCAACCTTCTGGTGATGCCTTTGGACTTCAGGTAAGCATCGAATTCGCCTCCCGTATATTCGCCTCCGTTATCGGACTGAAGGCACTTAACTGTCCTGCCCTTTTGATTTTCCATCAGCGTGATGAAATCCTTAGTCGCTTGAAGTGCGTCGCTTTTGTATCTTAGGAAGCGAACTTCTGTCCATCTCGACTTTTCATTGATGAACTCGATAAAGTATCTGGCCTTGCCTAGAGATTCGGTTCGCATGGGCCCGCAAATATCAGTGTGTACCATATCCAACACCTCTGTGTTCCGATTCGATTTTTTGGGAAACGGGGTCCTTATCATCTTCCCCTGAAGAAATGTCACGCATTCGAAGTTGCCACTGTTAGGTTTTAAGCGAACTCCGCGTACGACATTTTGCGAAACGGCACTCAACAAATCCTTCGCGTTCGCGTGTCCCGATCGCTTATGCAACAGCTCAAGCGATATGACGTCATCGCTGTCGATCGGTTTCGAGAATGCTACGCGAGCATCGTGCTCGTCCTCGCTTACAAAGAATAAATCCCCGACCCTTTTGGCAACAAGGTGTATTTTACCTTTTGAGTCCGCAATTGTTGCCTCGTTTTTCCGAAAATTCACGCTGAAGCCCCGATCCGCGATTCTGCTCACCGAAAGAAGATTCGTCCGTAGATCAGGCACGAATAATGTCTCGTCAAGTGTCACCACAGTCTCTTTGCCGCGCACATTTGATTTGAACCGCACTAGTCCTTCGCCAGAAATGTCCGTTGTAGAGTTGTTGGCGAGATTTAAAGTTCCGCAATTACGTTCGTTAAGTTTTTCGAAACTTCGCGCGTCACAACACAAGTGCGCCGTCGCGCCACTGTCCAGGCACCATCTAGGGTCGGCGGGAGGAAAGGTTAACTTGTCCTTCGAAGCATTTAGACAGATATTTGCGAATTTCGTCCTGTCATTTTTGTTGTGGCTCCAACATTCCGCCGCTTTATGACCCTTCTTCTTACACTTAAAGCAGCGAATCTCTTTCTAGTCTCTCTGTTTTGCGCCATTCGTGCTGCCCCCATCTACCCTGTCCTTGTTTCGCCGTCTCTGGTTTTTGGCCATCATTGCGTCAGAGGAGTTCTGTCGACCATTGGTGCCGCGCATGCTGTTCTTGCGCGCGTCACTCTCTTCTATAATTTTAATACGCAGAATCTCGGGGGTGGGGAGTTCATCCCGCGATTCAATCGCGCATCGGAACATTTCGAAATTCGCGGGCAAGCTGTATAACAATAGAATTGCTAAAAGATTGGGATTTATTGTGATCTCCATATCGCCATGCTTGTCCACTGTATCACAAAATTCGCGCAAATGCTCGCGCACGTCGCCGTTTTCAGGCATCTTACACAAAATTAAATTTTTCAAGAGGGTGGCTTTCCTGGCTGGTCCCTTGGATTGATATATGTCCTCCAGTCTTAACCAAATCTCCCTAGATGTACCGCAGTTTTTTATCTGCTTTAACTCCGGCGGACTAATAGATAAAATAATGTCTGACCTTGCCTTAGCATCGTTCTTCTCCCAGTCTGTGACGGCTGCAACATTCGAACTATCCGCCAATAACTTCGGCTTCGGCGTCTGCCCATTGACGTAATTCCAGGCGTCTCCTTTAATCAGTACAGCTTCCATCTGCAACTTCCACGTGTCGAAGTTGTCCTTCCCCAAAGCTTCAATTCTGACCGCACCTGATGCCATTTTGTTTATTCACCGCCCAGATAATTTCGAGAATAGAGAAAAGAACCCGCAAGTACTCGCGCTACGTTAACACGGCACATGAAATTCGAATGTTCGACTTAACACCACGTGTTAGTCCTCAATGGCCGACGCGCACAGCTTCCGGTTCACCGTTTCGTTTTTTAATTCGCTCACGTGGTTTCTCTGGGCCCATAACCTGTTAGTTATATGAGGCACGTGGAACGAAAACACGAACAACAGTTAACACATTTATTATACAAACACAAGTAAATATAGATTACGGTGAACTTGGACACACGCGCGCGGACAACCGACCAGCCATTAGTGTGACGTTCGACTTCATCATGGCTACGTCATCGCTGGCGCAGTCGCGCAGACTACCGCCGAACACGCGCTCCATCTATGTTTCCTAACACTATTCTTCTTTGTACATATTAAACATATATAATATAAGTTTTAGAAGATCACGTCTCTTGGTTGTGAAATTTTTGTATGTACCTCCGCTTATGTAGCAGAAAAATAAATTTTTTTCACTAGCAGCCATGAAGCATGCAAATGTCGACTCATTTAGAGGTAGCAAATTCAACTTTTGCGACCACGGGTTAAAAAAGAAGATTGAGGTTATGTACGCAATACTTGATGTGATTATTTCTTAAAAAATGAATAAATGTATGCTACTAACATTACTTGAGTATACGCATGGTAGTTGTAGACGGTAGAAGATAAAATGATTAATTCAGCGACAAGTGTAAACGGTTTACTCTGTGTTGAAGATTTAGATTAAGTTTGATTAGAAATCCAAACAAAATCATGTTGCGTCAAAAAATTGAACGTTTATTTTTTCAATTTATTGTCTTATGGTTTCTACTAGTGAAAAAAATAGTACATTACCCACGGTTACAAAGCCGCTTCTAGACCTCGCGCTTCAGAGCCCTCGACGCTGCGCGTCTCGGGTTCTAATTTGCGCTCGGTCTAGAATGCTTGGCTTTGCAACCTTGGCTAATAATATACTATTTTTAAAAATAAATCAAATACCTCATCGCACTTCGTCATAAGACGTCGCTTAGGGATCCTGTAGGAGTAAGTCTTAAGAGCTGATTTACAAAATACAACGCTTACCTCACACAAGGAACACCTTGTTGCATGGTTATCGGATATTTTAGTTTATTTCAAACCCAGTCCGCCTATGCCATTTTGGCATGGAGGCTTAACTTACAAAAGATCTTTCTAGATAACTTAAAACAATATTTCTTAAAATATATATGTCAATATTCCAATTAACTCTAGCAACGCTATATATGTATCAGTGTTCAAAAACGCTGAAATTCATAATTACGTGATAATTCACACTTAAATTTAAAAACATTAGTAGCAAATATTCAAAAATATAATATTTGGAAATTTAATTTTGTTTTATGAAAACGAAGAAGCTACCTAGGATCAAAAAGAACTCTTGTGCGTAAATTTTACTATTCTTCTTTGCACATATTAACCATATATAAGTTTAACTATGGAGACTTCAATTGAAAAAAAAGTTTCATATCTAGCAATTACTTTATTTTGTATTTTTTATTTCTTCTTTCTTTAATAGTTCTACTGCAGCACACTTAGAGAAATGTTTACCTCAGACAATTTAT